ACACAGAAAACGTGCACTGCTGCAGGCGGTCCGGCCGAGAATTTTCATAGTCAAACATGAACTGTACCCAGTGAATGGATGAACGAGGCTACGGTTATTGAGTGTGTTGTGATATCCATTCTGCTAAAAGAAGACAGAACTAAAAAACAGATATACACAAGTAAAAAGGGCAGGTGAAGAAATGTCTCATAACTGGTTACACTTGAAGGGAGACATTTTGAAAGGTGTGGATGAATAAGCAAGCTTTAAAAAAAAGGGGGGCAGAGGGGTGAGGGAAATCTGCCATCTCTAGTCTACTGCTAGCAGCAGGAGGGTCCCCTATAAGAAAGAACCCCAGACAGTGAAAGGCTTCCTTTCACACACTCCTATGAACACACACCATACACACCAAGCACGCTCACACGCAACACAAAATATAGACAAAATGCAGCATTGTTTTATGCATCTTGCTGTGCATGTGCATGTGCATGTGCGTGTGCGTGTAGCAGGCAGTCAGCTTGTCAACTCCTAGCGGAGTGATCAAAGCTAGTATAAACCACCCAGAGAGTTCCCTTCTTCATTCATTCACTCCGTAACCCTCTCCTTCTCAGATAGAGAAACACATTTACCACATAAAACCTGCTCTACCAATTGCACTCTGCTGACTGGATCCAGTCACAGTGTCCAACACAGTTCCCGTAATTCACAACTGTCCCCTGACAAGCGCTGAACCCTGGATGGAGGCACTACACCATGGGACAGGATACGAGCATAATAGGATTCAGAATGGGAGCTCTGGCAGCATCATCACGCTGGATGCGTGCACAAACGCACAAAGCGCTGCAACAAACACCGTGTGTGCTCCGCTTGAGATCTGCTATTGTGCCAAGTGCACAGACACACACAAATACATACTCCACAGGAGTTCACTGAAACGACCCCCGAACTGTTAAATTTGTGAACAAAAACCTTCGAACAAGCACTTTTAGCACAACAGTGCACCGACACACTGCAGCTCCAGCTGTACAGTCTCACAAGCATCATAGTCCACATGCAGTTCCACCTAAAACCACATTTGTGCAGCAAAATAATAAGAAATACTAAAAAGTTTAACACTAGATTCATTGTTCTGTTGAAAAACAATAACAACGTCAGTGTTATTACCAGTTTTATTTGGACTTGAAAAGCTGCAGTAACAACAAATTTTAGCTACCGAGTTGTAAAATGAATGAGTCACACAACTGCTTTCACACATTTTTCACAATCACATATAAACACGTTTTACATTAGCTTGGCAAACACACGGTAGTTCTATGAAAAATGCTGCTGATGGATGGAAAAAGTTACAAACTGTTACTTTTATAAAGCTAAATAGCATACTGAGGGAATTTTGGGATGCATTTTTCTGAGGCTGGTTGCACACACACAAAAACATACATATCACTCGTTTTGAAACTGTTTCGATGTAGACGCTCACCAGCACGCAACCATACACGGAACTATAACTGGACAGTTACACGTGAGTTTGTCATAAAACTCTCATCAAGTTTAAAAAAAAAATTGTAAAAAAACATTTAAAAATGGCGTTGGGACAAGTTGAAGAAAATATTTATGCACAGTAGTCCCTCATTTATCACTGGGTTTAGGGAACCACGCCCCCCGTGATAAAAAAACCACATAGTAGGGATACAGTAGTCCAAGTTCCACTCCCAATCTCCCTCATTCCATGTAAATAAACAATTTTAATTTAAATTCTGTAATATTTAAACAATAAATAATAAACAATCATGCATTGTTTATTAAAATATTACAGCATTTAAATTTAAATTGTAGAGAAAAGAAGCGCAGCAGGACAGCAAAGGGTTAACCCTTCATGCAGCACAGAACAGAAATGTACTTATCGATCAATTACACTGTAACAACTGAACATAGAAGTTCTAAAATAATTTAAAAAAAAAACTTTTAACACATTTATATTTTGTGATTATGATGATTTTATGATGTGACAATTTGAATTTTAAGTTGGAAAACAAAAGTTGATCTTCGCATCTGGACTGCAAAGGGTTAACGCTTCATGAAGCTGCTTCAGCTGCAGGAGAAACGTGGGGGTGGCAGAGAGAGTAGGGAGCTTCTCCCTGCACCTGTGGGCTGCACACAGGTGCTAAGTCATTTTAAATAATTTATTTTAAATAAACAATCCATGCTGCTCGTGTGGCTCATCCATCAATCAGCCAATTGTGTCATATCCACTCTTACTTTGAAAAACCATGAAAGAGCGAGTCTGCAAAAGTCGAACCACAAAGTAGTGAGGGACTACTATATTACTAGAGTATTAACTTCAGCTGCAGAAAGAATCATTTTTGACGCGCAAATATGTACCATAATTTAAATAAAGTTTGCAAAAAGTAATGTCAAGCAATAAGAAACAAGTCTGAGTGAACTCTTAACGACCTTAGCTGATCAACACTCCACATGTTAAGCTGCCACTGTGTTTGCACTCATGGCTTCACTGAGTCCAACAGTGAAAACTGTCTGATACAAAAGTGACATGTTTGATACGAGCAGCATGGCATTTGCTTGAAACACGTTTTTTTTTTTTTTTTGAGATATTGAAAATGTGAACATAATCAGGGTTCATTTCTGCAAGGATTATCATAAAGCCTTCCTGTCGGGGATCTTTCCTAAAACTTGAAATTGAGAAATCAGTGACAAACGTCTAATGGACTTTGGATAAAAGGAGCTATGCCTTTAAATGAAAAAAGCCCAACATGCCACACACATATGAGCATATAACACAACAACAAACCCATACTAATGATTTTAAACAAGTGGCATTAGCAGCGCTCCATCATTTGCTATCAAAAATAAAACAGCTTAACAAATGGCATTTCAATGGACCCAACAGTGCAAACTGACATCAGTGGATCTAAACAATCCTCTGGTCAATACAGGTGCACTTTCAGTGAGTGCAGAAGTATATCTGCCATCTGCCAATGAACAGTTCAGCGACAACTCGTTTTCTATAGCACTGCAAAAACAGGACAAGTGCATGAATGTTCCTAATTGCATCACTTAAAGAGTTTTTAAAAAGTCTATCTAGGAAAATGACTGGGATTGAAGGCTGTGTGCAACAAAAGTGCACTTAGTTTCGATTTGAAAAGAATTTCTGATGGAGAGACCCCATGTTTCATCATTAAACGTTAATCCACAGCAGCTCTAGCATAATTTTGACTAACACCAGCATCCTGAGCATCATTAATTTTGACCCTGAAAACCGACTCAGCTATTAAACTCTCCAAACCACATATTTCGCAGTAAAGTGGAGGCAGGAACTGGCCATAAGATGCTCAATAATGCATGAGTGGCAACAAATAACATTAATTTGGTTGGAGCAAATATTTGTGTTCCTCAATCAACATCAGCTCTGAACTGGGAACTGTCTTTTAGTCTGACGCATCAAAAAGAGCAACCATTTGCACAAAACAACCCACTTCCAATGGTTATGTGTGTGTGTGTGTGTATGTGTGTGTGTGAGGGAGAGAAGCAAGTGACTCCCTGTTCACAATAAAACAACACCGGAGACATGAGTGAAGTTGTTTGGGACAGCGCAGACACAAACACAGCAGCAGTGGAGGAGAAAACAGAGAAATTTAAACCTTTGTAAACAAAAAAATACATTTTTTTTCCAGGAGTTTATCTTCAGCCATGGACCCAGTAAAAATCCCAATTATCAGATTTCTCTTCGGAGACCAAATTAAGTTGCATGTCTAGTGCGAGGATGCTATTTATCAGAGGTGGAGGAAGCCTTCCTCAAAATGTGTCCCTAATTTGCACAGTTTATCGATTGAACAGAGTTAGCCAATAAAAAAAAAGCAGTTATAATGAATATTGGAGGTTAGTTGCTGAAATGTTGTTCCCTGGGGCAAAAAGAGAAAGGTAACAGCAGCTTCATGTCCAATTACTTTCCAAATTCAGTACAAAAGCCCTCGGCCAATTTGTAATGTCGATACCAATTTATATACAACATCCTAGAGTTTTCTACACAAATTACTGTGTTTTTCTTTCACGAGGTCTTCAACTGTCTGGAATATAACTTGTTATGGAGTTAGATTAGACTAGAAGAACAGCTCAACAACAGAGGGCTGTGATAAGGTCGAGCTGTATGGAGCAAGTGTAGTGAATTAAACAGCTTGTTAAAACAAAAGACACTTCGACCAATATTTCATTTTGATCAACAAGACACTTTTCACTGTGAGAAGGTCAGGGAGAGTGTGAAAGGGCATTTGATTAAAGAAGCCAGTTTGCCAGCTAGGCTTTAAAACACCTGAACAGGATGAGTGCATGCACACCCCAGCTGTGGCGGGTGAAATATCACTTCAATATGCCCCTTATGTTTCACTTGGGGCTCAGAGTGGACACAGCCAGTAAGTTGTGTCTTTTACAACAGTGAGGTTGTCAGTGTGTTAAACTGCAGACTTTATTTTTTTATTTTATTTTTTTTAGATCTGTAAGTGCCTGTAGAGGCTTGGGATCAGTTTTCTAATTGCAGCAAGTGGAGCGTCGTGTGGATCCTGCAAAGTGCTGCTGTAACATCACACCGTGATACAGAGTTTGTGCTTGATGCATCTGCAAACTGGATGCTTGTTCATTTAATGGACCAGGTCTGGATGCTATAGAGGCAAAAGAAGCAGCGCGTGCACTTCAACTGAAGTCAGGTTCTCCCTTATTTACGGAGATTTGACAGTAAAACACGCATGCTTCGTTTTTGCACCATTTTTAAAATAAATTTGATATGTTTTGGAAAATAGTTTGTATCTTTTTTTTTTTTAGCTTTTTTTTCTTCAAGCAACAAAAAAAAGGGCGCATGGATGTAACACATCAAAGATTTAGATGAACTCTCAAATGGAAACATCTAATAACTGCTTCCTCCTCTGCACGAGACAACTGACATGCTGCCCCACAAATCAGTCTCGTGCTCACTTTTCGTGCAGCACAAAGCTTTCAGGTCCAGCCTGTCTTACCTTGAGCGACTCCCGGGTGCGCGAGCACCAAGAGGAGCAGGATTCCCGGCGCCGCGTGCATTCTCACCAGGCTAGAAGCACCGCGCGCCACTCCGCTTCTCAGTCCACTTTTACCCATGCCAGGCACGGCGCGCTCACACGCGCAAAACTCCTCCGCCCGCGGTGGTGGTGCTGGTGGGGGGGAAATAAGAGACCCCCACACTTCTGCGCCTCCAGTACAAAGATCTGCTGATGGAGTCCAAAAGGAGCGGAGGTGAAGGTGTATAAAATAATGATGACCCCCCCTCCAGAGTTCCGTGCGCGTCCGTGACTCAAAGCGCTGCGTCCAGAGGTGGTCCCTCCACTGTCAGCGGCTCTGCTGCCTCACTGCTCTCCTCCTCTCCTCTCCTCCTCTCTCCGCCGACTCCGTTAACGCAGAGAGAGAGAAATGCCACCGCCCTCTGGTTACTCCAAGTTTCTGCCTCCTCTACCCCCGGTCCTGTTTCAGCACTTTACACAAATCGGAGGATAAAAACGAACTGAGATGGTTCGTTTAGTCTTCCCTGATCTAATGATGGCGAGGAATTCCCTCCCACTCCCGCTCCAGTGCCATCAACTGCTTTAAAATGTATTATCCACTGGAAATAAACGTATTTAACTTCAAAAACGTTTGTGTTTTTTTTTTTAATGGAAGTATTTATAACTGACTTGTATGTTGGTGCCATTTGATCTCCTGCGCCTCTTTCTGTGAAAGCTTTCAATGAGAACCAAAGTGTTTCCCGACAGTTCAGTGCCTGATGTCTGCCCCCTCACGGCCACGCATCTGCAGAGGACCAAACCTGCAGTGAAATGTCAACAGTGGAGTTTTCTCTTTGTGCAAAACGTCAAATGGAAACTGTAATAAAAAATGAAACGAGCAACAAGAAGCAGCTCATGGTTGAAAGGGAGTTCCTCTCTAGACACAAGCACAATAATGCTCAGCAATTTGTCAATGGAGACTGATAAGAAGAAGATGTGATCTGTCCTGCTAAATCAAAAGTATTTTAGAAGAAAAACACTTAATGTGCTATTGTCTATATTTTCATATTTACATTTTGCTTTGAGACATCGGCAAGTGTAGCTCATGAATAACTGAGCAGAGTATGTAATTGTAAAATTTTCTCTAAACATAATTTAAGGTTTTGAATGTCACTTTTATACAAGTTTATTTGGTTTGGTTCCCCTCCTTTAAATAATTAATTCAACCTTTATTTATACAAGTTAATCCCATTGAGCCTCGGGGACTCTTTTACAAGATAGACATGAAATATTATTATTATTATTATTATATTATTATTATTATTATATATCCGAAATTTTCATCTTAGGTGCATGTCCACTGTGAGAGACATAATCTAAAAAAATAAAAAATCTGGAACTCACAATGTATAATTTTTAAATAATTTATTTGTGTGTTACTGCTGCAAAGAAGTATTTGAACACCTGTGAAAATCAATGTTAATATTTGGTACTGTAGCATTTGTTTGCAGTTACAGAGGTCAAAGGTTTCCTGTAGTTGTTCATCAGGTCTTCTCACACTGCAGCAGAGATTTTGGTCCATTCCTCCACAGATCTTCTCTAGATCAGCCAGGTTTCTGGGCTGTCGCTGAGAAACACGGAGTTTGAGCTCCCTCCAAAGATTTTCTATAGGGTTTAGGTCTGGAGACTGGCTAGGCCACTCCAGAACCTTGATATGCTTCTTACGGAGCCACTCCTTGGTTCTCCTGGCTGTGTGCTTCGGGTCATTGTCATGTTGGAAGACCCAGCCACGACCCATCTTCAGTGCTCTAAGTGAGGGAAGGAGGTTGTTCCCCAACATGGCTCCAGTCATCCTCTCCTTAATACAGTGCAGTCGTCCTGTCCCATGTGCAAAAAAAAAAAAAAAAATACAAAGCATGATGCTTCCACCCTCATGCTTCACAGTAGGGATGGTGTTTTTGTGATGGTACTCATCATTCTTCGTCCTCCAAACACAGCGAGTGGAATTAAGACCAAAAAGTTCTATTTTGGTCTCATCTGACCACATAACTTTCTCCCTTGACTCCTCTGGATCATCCAAATGGTCATGGACAAACTTAAGACAGGCCTGGACGTGTGCTGATTTAAGCAGGGGAAACTTCCGTGCCATGCGTGATTTTAAACCATCACGTCTTAGTGTATTACCCACAGTAACCTTGGAACCAGTGGTGCCAGCTCTCTTCAGGTCATTGACCAGCTCCTCCCGCGTAGTTCTGGGCTGATTCCTCACCTTTCTTAGGATCATTGATACACCACGAGGTGAGATCTTGCATGAAGCCCCAGTCCGAGGGAGATTGACAGTCATGTTTAGCTTCTTCCATTTTCTAATAATTGCTCCAACACTTGATCTTTTATCACCAAGCTGCTTGGCAATTGCCCCGTAGCTCTTTCCAGCCTTGTGGAGGTCTACAGTTTTGGCTCTGGTGTTTTTGGACAGCTCTTTGGTCTTAGCCATGTTAGTAGTTGGAGTATTACTGATTGTGTGAGGTGGACAGGTGTCTTTATGCAGCTAACCACCTCAAACAGGTGCTTCTGATCTAGAATAATAAGTGGAGTGGAGGTGGACTTTTTGGATGTGGACTAACAGGTCTTTGAGGGCCAGAATTGTTGCTGATTGACAGGTGTTCAAATACCTATTTGCAGCAGTAACACACAAATAAATTATTTTAAAAAATCATACATTGTGATTTCTGGATTTTTTTTCATTTTTAGATTATGTCTCTCACAGTGGACATGCACCTAAGATGAAATAAAATTTCAGACCCCTCCATGATTTATTTATTTATACATTTATTA